GGCAGAAGTGGTTCATGATGATGATGATGATGATAAAGAAGCACCGAATACTGTCACACGAAAAGCTCAACAGGTAATACCGACTATTCTTAAACGTTAGTAACAGATTGTGGTTGTGGCGTTTAGGGTGAGGCCTGGAGAGACCAAAGCCTTGTTGAACTGCATAACAATTTAAATATAAAAGTAATTAAAATATTGTGTTAATTGGCAAATAATTATAAACATTTATTTGAACTGATATGAAATTTTAAAACAAATACTCTAAATAAATATTAAAGGTTGGGTGTTGTTATCTCCCTAACATATTTTCTCATTACCATTCTCCCTGAGTGTTCCTAAAGCCACATGTTCCGCCGCCCTTGACATCACCAGGTAATATTACCAAAGACGCCAGTGTGTGCCCTTCATTGTGGAGACGGCACAAAACATTGTCTTCGGTACTGTCAACTTGCAGCGCTAAATCCTAAACTTTGACTCACGACTCACAAGCCTCAAGATGTCACGTCCAGGAATAACGCGGAAACTGCACGACGATTCCTAACCGTAGCGTATTGTCTGCCTTGGAATTAAGGAACGCCGTTTAGGACACATGCGTTTATTCTTGGGAACAGTTAAAATGCGTGTAAATGACTGGCATGCTCTGCTTTGAGCCCTGCCAATGTCCGCCTTTTCTTTAGGGTAAATACGGTAGTCCGAGTGAATGATCGTGTCGTTAAGTGCACCATGTGGTCTATCCTGCCAAAGCTTTCTTCTATGGAGAGTGTGGATTTTCTCCCTGACATTAACGGTCGTCGCCATAGGACATGACCCTGATGACCGAATAGAACAGTGGTTTTCAACCTGGAAGCATAGGAAGCTGCGTGGTCACTAGGTATGGTGTCTGCATCGAGGGCTAGACCTCCCGGGTTCAAGCCCCGGTGAAGGCTGTTATTTTGTTCTGTAGCACACGGGAAATACCCATTTGCAGTTGGAAATCTAAAAGTGTAGCCTAACGGTGATGCCCGGGAAAAATTTGGAGTTAAAAATCTACCCAAAAAATTTCAGGATTCTTGCCGGTGCTACGGAGCCCGTGCACTGCGCTAAGCGATTTCACACTCAGACTTGAGTTAGAGCTAGAACGGAGCACTTAATTGTTACTACCCGTGTGCCATGGTGTTGATCCGTTGTTCAAACCTCAAACCTCAAATCTCAAACCTGGTAGCGCGCCTCCCCGTGGAATAGGGAGGCGTGCTAGGAAATTTCAAGGTAGGCGTCGAAGAAAATTTAAATTGAGTGCATTTCTACTTATAATAATATGTTATTCTAACATCTTTTTTTTTTTTTTCTAAGGTTAATTTGAAAAATAAATATTTTTAATTAAAAATGTTAAAAGAAAAAGCCAAAAAAGTCTTTGCATTAATGAGAAATTTGTACATCTAACTTTACAAATCTGATTACCAACACGTGCATTTAATTATAGAAAAAGAATTAATTCTGAGTAAAACATATTTACATAGTTTTTTTTTATATTTCTCAAAGTTCTTGTAAATAGTGCTTCAGTTTTTTTTTTCTTTCTTTTCCTTCTCCTCTTTTTAATCACACTGTTAAAGTTATGAAAGGGAGGTTGGGGTGTCTCTTATATAGGCCTCGAAGGAGGCATAAACATACTTCACAATGCTTTACTTCCATCCTCTACAATGCGTTCCTCCACTAGAAGCCATTGGCACAATGTAGGATGTCAGGCGTTGGCGTACTCAAGCCACCAGTATGGTGTTAAATGTCAGGTGTTGGTGTACTCAACATACCAGTATGGTGTTAAATGTCAGGTGTTGGTGTACTCAACCCACCAGTATGGTGTTAAATGAGAACATGTAGTACCGACTAATTATTAATGATAGCTTAGTAAATTAAAGTTGAAGTAATGTCGAAAGGATTTACTTCATTTCACAAGGTTTGATCTCATATGGCTCGTATTCTCCCAGCAAAACGGTTACCCCTCCCCCCCCTCCCCCCCCCCCCCCCCCCTTTGCCCTAAGCGTCACACAAAGCACAAATTCAGAAACTTCAGAGACAATTCCCGGGGATCTCCGTAAAAAAATTGCACTCGTGAACCAAGCGATGCAGACGGGAAACGAACTCACGACCGTTCAGTGCACCTGGCAAACGGTTTGACTACTTCCTCGTGGCCACTGCGGACAGTAACTGGGTGGAACTGACCAAGACTTGATCAGGAAGATCATACATATAGTTTAGAACATGCAGCAAGAGCCGCAGTGGTGCTAGACGTGCGCCTGTAAAGTCGTGGGTTTAGGTCCTAAAGGAGCCGGAGCCCACCCACTCCTCCCCCCTCATCCTAAATCCTATTGGTTCTCAGTTCAACCCAACCTTAAATAGGTGCCAGGTACAGTCCTTGGAAGTAAATGTGGTCGGTGTGATGTTGGCACCATCACCTACCAAGTGCTGAATGGTCTGCACAATACTATTTGCACCAAGGGCTAATACGCTTGAAAGCGTGGAGAAGGCTCGTGCACTGCGCTGAGATTCTTCTGACAGGCTGAAGTCAGTTACTACCCATGTGCCATGATGCTGATCTGTCGTCTTTTGTCTGCAGTGATCTTGGAACCTCGACAAACTCAAAATAAAACCAAAAATCAATGTAACTGTTGCACGCTTTCCTTATTGCTCTCAATAAGACACATGTGTTATATTATCACTTTTTTAAAAGAACTGTGAGAAAGAACCCTGGTAATAGTTTACAATTTATTAATTTGTTTTTGCACATCAGACAAAGCATTAAGTGTTCAGTCTCTGTCAGTCACAGATGGCTGATGTGTTACTACATTTGTTCTCACTAGTTTGTGTCAATAGTGCTAATAATCATTAATTTACTTATTGAATGTCGTGTTCTTATCTGTAATGTATATATCATATTGCTTTTTTTTTTTTTTTTTTTTTGGCGCGGTGATTTCTGTCACAGGCGTGAGGTAAAGTTACATCCAACGTGATGTGTATAAGGAGTTACTCCGTACGTCACTCGGGCGCCAGTCCTGCACTGTTCTTGTTTTACGGAACCTTACGCAAGACTCCTGCAGCACGTCCACGTCGTGCGCCACAGATAATGTCTCAAAGAAGCATTAACAGAACTGTCAGGGGATCTTGGAGTTAGCGGCTCCCTGAGGTGTAGTGTCCTTATGGCTCTCATCAGCCCGCCACCCGAACGCATGGGTGAAAAAGCTTATCAGAACTCATTAGGAACATGAGTAAAGTGCTTGCCAAAACGTACAACTAAAATGAAAACCCTCGGTTAAAAGTTTGTGGGGTGAAGAGAAAATTGTGTTGCTGAGACCCAATCCTTGACCTAGACATTTACCCGCAGCACAGACGAGTAGCATCTCCTGTGGTTGGCGTCTCGCAGCAAGATTCTGCCCATATACATCCTCTGTCAACACTCAGTGTCGTCGCCAACGCGCTGAGGTACAGCAAGACAGCAACCATCCATCGTCTGGTTAAGCCCAAATGTCAGACAAAAATAGATCCTACGGCACACGAGCAAGCTGAAAATCCGACCATCATAAATCGTATTGATTGGGAAAAAGTCCAAATGTCCACATCCCGAGACTCCACTCGCCCGAGTGTTGGGACCAAACAGATAAAGACATGCCTGACGCAGGATTCTCCATTCGGTCGTGCTAACAGTACGCTTAAGATGACAATCGTGCGATGAAAAAGATTGTACCTATTCGTGTGGTCACAAAAATCCAGAACCAACGGGCTGCTCCCCGCTGATCTCCGGAGGGCGCAGCCCGTGTCGAGCGGAAAACCTAATACGGTTGTGAGGTTAAGCAGTTATGTGCAGGACTTGACGATTCTTTGGGTGAGCCCAGAACCAGAACGTTATGTGTCGGCATTGCCTTTTTGGAAGCCCCCTTGGATGGCAGGGAATGCCCATGATCTGCCCCTGCCTTCCCCTGAGGGCTAACCGTTCCACACAGGGCTGCCCCAAAGGGGGTTCTCCGGAGAGCAACACCTGTGGGGAAAAAGGGACAAAGAGGACACCACACAAATAAGGTAACATCTCGACCCACACAAACAATAGCCACAGTCATCCTAGAAAAAGGCTCGACGTCTTCCCTCGAAGTCGGAGTACATCTTCCCGTGAGACAGGGAACGGCAAAAGCCAGTAAAATGGTTGTACACGCAAAACTCAGGTCCAGGTAAAAGCCAAAAGTTCAAACGAACGATTAACCGAATCCTTCCGCCGGAATTCACAGCCGGTGAATGAAGAAGAAGAAAAAGATATGGCTTTTTTTTTTTGCAGGAATGCAGGTGTTGGTACACCAGATCTAAAAATTAGTGCCGGTACTCACAGTTTGTTGATTACACTGCCACTGAAATAACAAACCATGCCTGTAAAATAAAAGGGCTGCTGGTATGGTTGTGTGCGACAGAATAAGGATGAATGATTACGTATAGGTAAAATACCCTTTTAACGCAACGGGCATTCCAAGCAAATGGGGCTAGAATGCATTCTCTTCTTCTTCTTCTTTTCCCCTTTTCGTTCTTCTCTTTCTCTTTCTCATTTTCTTCCCCCTCCTTCCAATCCTTCTTCTTCTTCTTTTTCTTTTTCCTCCTCTTCTTCAGTATATATCAATTCAAACTCGATATTTGATGTGTTCAGCACTCGTGTGCTGCCTTTACATCACAACACGTTATCTTGTACGCATCATAGGCTCGGTCAACCTGACAGTTATGTAACTTATAAATCTCGATGAGGATATAAACCACTCATCCCCCAGTTTCTAAATTTCATTCTCGATATCAGTTACTTCTAATTTTAAAATTTTCAGTAACCCTTAAAGCTGTAAATTCAAAAATGATCCTCATTATATATGAGTGTGTGTTTGTATGTATATGTTTGTGTATGTGTGTGTATGTTTGTATGTATATGTTTTGTGTGTGTGTGTGTGTGTGTGTGTGTGTAGGCGAGAATATCCTTTGTTAAAACTTGTTTGGACTTGTTTCTAATTTTTGTTTTTACAATCTGCATAAATAGGTCCGTTTATGGCGTACATCCGGGCAGTCTGTGCATCGTTGAACTTTTGACATCCGGGAACACAGGGAAAGTTCGCCTCGAAGGCAATCTTGTCCTGCAGCCAGAAAGTGTGCATCAAACCTTTTCCCTGGCGATTGGAAGGAAGGGGGAATTGGGCGGGGGGGGGGGGGGAGAGAAATGTATGATTATTCAATATAAATACCAAATTATTGCTGTTATTTCAGCTGTAAAATGAAGTACAACTAAAAAGTTATTAATAAACTAAGAACCATCATTAACTAGTCATTGCTAAAAAAAAAGAGGATTAAATTGTATGTCAAAATCGCTTATGCTGAATTTTTGGAGCACATTAAAAAAAATAGAGAACTAATCACATTTAAAAGATATGAATGTTAAGAATGGAAGCTGCCAGTGAAAAGAAAACAAGCTGAGAAAACCTGATATCGATGTCTTTTTTTTTTTTTTTTTTTCTATAGTGATCTGATCGTGCGCTTAATCCACACTGGACCATAAACTTGGATGCCAGTTAACGGTCTCTTAAATTTCCCCAAAGCTTAGTTGTCAGGTCTGCTGGGTGTGGCTACTTGCTGTTTTGCATCTCCTCCATGAGAGGACAGAATAAGAAGAAGAAAAAGAAGAAGAAAAGGAAGAAGAATAACAAGAACAAGAAGGAGGAGGAGGAAGGGAGTTAGTGATTATGATGATGAGAAGGATGTTGAGGGTAAGGATAAATAATAATAATATTTAATAATGATAATAATAATAATAATAATAATAATAATAATAATATTAATAATAATAATAATAAGAAGACAGACAGACAGACAGACAGACAGACAGACAGACAGACAGACAGACAGACAGACAGACAGACAGACAGACAGCCAGCCAGCCAGCCAGCCAGCCAGCCAGCCAGGCAGGCAGGCAGGCAGGCAGGCAGGCAGGCAGACAGACAGACAGACAGACAGAAAGAAAGAAAGAAAGAAAGAAAGAAAGAAAGAAAGAAAGAAAGAAAGAAAGAAAGAAAGAAAGAAAGAAAGAAAGAAAGAAAGAAAGAAAGAAAAGAAAGAAAGAAAGAAAGAAAGAAAGAAAGAAAGAAAGAAAGAAAAAGAAAGAAAGAAAGAAGGAAAGAAAGAAAGAAAGAAAGAAGAAAGAAAGAAAGAAAGAAAGAAAGAAAGAAAGAAAGAAAGAAAGAAAGAAAGAAAGAAAGAAAGAAAGAAAGAAAGAAAGAAAGAAAGAAAGAAAGAAAGAAAGAAAGAAAGAAAGAAAGAAAGAAAGAAAGAAAGAAAGAAAGAAAGAAAGAAAGAAAGAAAGAAAGAAAGAAAGAAAGAAAGAAAGAAAGAAAGAAAGAAAGAAAGAAAGAAAGAATACAAAAATAATGAAGATTATGATTAAGAAGATGAATCAGACGACACAGAAGAACGTTGAAATAATCACTCACTTTTATCTCAACATGGCCTCTTGTTTCCAAGGTAAACAATCCCAGAGCTTCTAGGGCGCTGTAGGTCACTGTACTTACTTGAATGTGGTCGGCTGGAGTATATTCATGAAAGATTTCATTGATGGGTTTCCGATTGAGGGTGGTTTGTTGCTAACTTGGTGAATTAGTGATTTTGTGGGATGTTTGACTGTTTTTTTTTTTTTTAATTTTAATAATATGTGTGGTAGGTGAGTTAATTGTTTTGTGGATTAGTTATTCTTCTTCTTTCGTTCGCTGAAATATCAGCAATTGTGTCTCTTGTGTAAAATTTCACTGTCGTTGTTAGTTCCTTCAGTGGTCCATAGAGTTTACGTTCCACTGTTTGGATTAGTTATTGTGTGAGTTCGTTGATTTAGTGTGTACCTGTATGTGTGTGTGGATGAATTCATTATTTCGTGGGTTAGTTATTGCCCGTTGTGTAAAGCGAAGCAGACGCTAGAACACGTCCTGTACGCACGCAGGAAAGCCCTAGGTCAAGGCCGATATACCTGGCGACACAACAAGGTGCTAAAAGAGTTAGCAGCCGTTGTTGACCAGGCTAGAATGAGGGCTAACGCTAGAGCCAGTTCTACCATCGTCCCCATTCGTTTCCTCAAGGCTGGGCAGATTCAAAAGGTAAGGTCAACCGAAACGCATTCGCTCCATCTGTGCTAGACTCTGCGAGGGACTGGTTACTGGCGGTTGATCTGCCGGGCCATGAAAGGTACCCTGGGTTAATCCGAAAGACCGGCCTGTGACCTGACATAGTCCTCCACTCTGCGGAGAAACGGCAGCTCATCATGATTGAGCTGACCGTCCCATATGAGTCGCGTATGGATGAAATCACACGTATAAGCTCGAGAAATACTGTGATTTAGCAGCTGGTCTGAGGAGAGACGAGGTGTACACGGTATGTGTCTTTGCCGTCGAAGTGGGAGCGAGAGGTCTCGTCTCCACTTCACTGTACAATGTGGTTAAAGAACTAGGATTGCACGGTAATGAACGGAAACGAACGCTTAAACGACTGGGCGAGGCTGCGGAGAGGGCCTTGAGCTGGCTTTAAACGCAACGAAACAACGTAGGGGACGGGCCTCGGTGAGCTGGTCCGGGTTTCTAGTGGAAAAGGGTTTCTCACTCCTTGATAGTCCATCGTGTCCGAATTGTCTGCCAGTGATCCTCTGCCACCTGCTAACAAAGTCCAACATGTGTCCGGTAAACCAATCGTAAGCTTGTCGCTCGGTCGTCCAGGTATGCTGACTGCTCTAATTAGGCTACCGCGGCGGCTTCTTATCACACCAAATCACCAAGTCGTCTTGTCCCTATCCAAAAGGAAAACACCATCCGGTAATTTCGTGCAGCAGGGTACAAGCCCTGAGCTTCATGAACTCAGGTGGTCCCACCTCTGAAAACGTCTAGGAGATCGTGGGCCGAAACGTTTGTCGACGAGGATAACTTATACTGATGACTGGTAGATCCCTGCTGTACTTGCTCCCTGTGAGTTTATTCCTATTGCATGGGTTAGTTAGTGTGCATGCGTGTGCGCACGTATGTGTGTGTGAATTCATTATTTCGTGGGTTAGTTATTTCATGGGTTAGTTTAGTGTGTGTGTGTGTGTGTGTGTGTGTGATTTCATTATTTCGTGGGTTAGTTATTGTACGGGCTGATTTATTGTTTGTGTGTGGTTATGTGTGTATGTGTGTGTGAGTGTGTTTATCTGTAGGTTTGGTGAATCAGTTTGCTGGTTCGTTGTTGTTGGTGATTAGGTGGGTTATTTATCTGTTTTCTTGTGTGTTGTTATTTTCTTAGGTAACTGACTAGAGTTCTCTTCTTTTGATTGTTGAATTATTATTTTGTTGGTAAATCTCTGTGTTTTTTTCAGTCAGTATCTTCTATATTGTGTATTTTCAAACAGTTCTAACACAGATGATCTTCCATAGCTTATGACGTTGGTGGTCATGTCTATCTACAAACTTCTGTCTCGTGTAATCTCAATCGATTCTGACAAGGATTATCTTCTATAGCGTTTGGCGTTGGTTGTCATGTTAATCAACAACTTTCTTTCAGTCGCTTCTGACACAAGTGATCTTCTATATCGTACGGTCCGTCGTTTTCTATCCCGATTTCTTTTTGCCTCATTTCCCCTCAAACTTTGCCACCGCCATGATGTACTCCAATGTGTTCTTTTACCAGTTTAACCTTCCATAATTGTTCTCAGTGAACATGTTAGGCTCATTAATCTGACGCCCAGATCGATTTTATTCGAGTCCACATCGAGGGGCACATGCTCACTATCACACCCACACACATAGAGATCACACAAATACATCGGTGACTATGTCTCCCATTGGCTGGCCGGTAGACGACTTCGTCCAGTCGTGACAGTATTTGGGCCTGCCTCGACTGATCGCTTCAACACTGCAAGAGTTCTTTTCAGGGTTATTTGGCGGCTAGCAATGCTTAGCCATCTTATATGGCACAAATAACCTAGTCACAGTTTTAACCAAAAGCTCCCATTTGGGGGATGCTGACTAAACATGACACATTTTTTTTTCCGCAATGCAAAGGCAAATCACACAAATACTCACATACACAGGCAGATAGACACGCAGAGGCAGGCAAGCAAACATGTACAGTTTATGTGCAGGCAGACACACTGAAAAGGAGCATACAGACAGAGACATATGCGAACTTTATATCTCATTCTGTGTGCCGACTGGTCTATCAAAAAATTAGGTCTAGCCCTATATGCCCAATACGCCTAAAGGCGTGGAAAGGGTCATTTACTTTTTTTTCTGTTATGTGTGTGCGCCTGTGTACGTTACATACCTTTTCCTGTAGACTCCATTCTACTGGCCGTGTTGACTGTGTCCCCGAATAGACAATATCTCGGCATCTTGGAGCCCACAACTCCAGCAACAACAGGACCTAAAAGCCACAAATCAGTAGTATTTTCTTACAGACATACTTATATACATATATTCACATACACACACACCCACCCACACACACCCACCCATCCATTCACACACACCCACACACACACACAAGTAAAGGACCATCTTCCACGCCTACTGGCATTTTCGGCATAAATTGGATATATAAACAATTTTACTTTCCCGAATGTGTCATAGGGAGGAATAGTTTGCGATCCGGTACTCGGGGTGTGCAGAGATGAGGCACTAGTCTTTTAAATGAATGAATGAATGTATGGTTGAATGAATTTACATCCCTGCCCTCGAGACATTTCGACACAAGCCCGTTTATTTCCTCAGTAGCCAGCGAAGAGTGAACATGCTTATAGTACCAGTTGCAACCTGATTAAAAGACCACCAACGTTTCCCCCTTAGTGTTAAATATCTCCCAGACCCTCTGCTCCCCCCCCCCCCCCAAACTGATTTAGTCTATATATGTATGGATACTCTGTCTTTTTTTTTTTTTTTTGTCCTGTCCACTTGATCCTAAAGAGCTATCACCACGTCCGCTTTATCATAAAGTAGCTTATCGCCCAGAGGCGTGGCAGCAGACAATCTGTCTGCGTGTTCATTACCCCGCACACCCGATTTTCTGGGCAGGATTTCCATAACATACTGATGATCTGAGTCTTTTTAGCAATCAGTAGATTTACATGGGTCAAAGCATACTTGTATAACAGAAGATCCCGAGTACAGATAGATGGACTTAAGAGCAAGAAAGTTTTTCTGCGCCATGGCGTCCAACAAGGAGGTGTCCTGTCCCCCACACTCTTCCTAGTCTATATCAACGACCTGCTTTCTGAACTACCCCATGGAAATTAAAGCTGCAATGTATGCTGATGACTTGGTACTCTGGTTGTACAAATGAAAAATGCGACAGTGGCCACCAGACTGCTACAAAGAGCATAGATGCAATGGCTAAATGGGCCGACAAATGGTGTGTCAGCATAACATAGGCAAATGCAAGCACCACTCTCTTTACCCTTTCTCCTAAACAAAAATCAGGCGCCATGCACATAAATGGAGAGTACCCCTGAGAGAGGATAAGGAGCCCACATACCCCGGCGTAACGTTTTGATGATAGATTAACATGGAGAAAACACATCAACAAGGCAGCAACCAAAGCCAGAAGGAGGGTAGCCATTCTGAGAAAACTAAGTGGAACCACATGGGGTGCTAGCGGGAAAAATACTTAGAAAAGTTTACCAACAAAAGTGTTCGACCACATCTTGAATACGGAATCAACAGCATGGAGTTCGGTCATCAAAAACCACATTGCAAGAATTAGACAAAGTGCAAAATCAAGCACTCAGAGTTACCACAGGCAGTATGAAATCAACACCTATAGCTGTGATGGAGAAAATGGGGATGACCCAAAGCACTAAGTGAACGCAGAGGACACCAAGATGATTTTACAAGCAGGAAAAAGTTTCTTAGTATGACCAGTCACCCTATGAATGGCAAAGAATTCAAAAATTTAGCTGGGACGAATAAAGAGAAGTAGTTTTAGAACACCAGGACAAACGGCTCGGCAGACAAACACTGATTTTACCTGCAACTGATTAGATCACTTAAAGGCTGTCCCAGAAACGGACCCACTGGAGAGAGGAGTATAAAGTTTCCAATACACATCAAGAATGAAGGTGAAAGGGTATTGACTAAGGAAGACAAACAGTTGTTGCAGCGCAAAACAGCCACCCTCAGTTTACTTGAGATGAATCCCGCA